TGCGACATGGCGCTCAAGGGCTCGGCCGAGCCGATGCACGAGATCACGCGATTGCAGCAGGTCTGGCATCCATGCGTGGTTGAGAGGGCGCCGGGCATTTTCTCAAGTTGCCCTGATGACGCCCATGCAGCTGAAGCTGATGCGCCACAAGTGCAATGGCAAGCTACCATTACCCCCCTTGCTACCGCCCCTGCTGCTGAAAGACCTGAGAGTGCTTTCCACGAGCCACCGTGGAGAAACTCAGAAATACGCCCCGCAAGTTTTGCCAATTTACAATGTCCACGCTCGGCGGCTTCTACCCGAAGCACATTTGTTGGTTGGGGGATGCTGGCGCATCCAACCTCAGCGTCCTGTTCGAGGCGGTGGAGCGGCTCGGGCTCTTCCCTCGACATTCAATGTGGATGGCCTTTCCCTTGATCGACCTTTCATGAGCCTGCAGGCGGACATCGAGCGATCCTCCTGTTGGCCAGCTTTGCGCGCGCGTGGGGAAGGCTTTGCCGCCCCCAGCTCGACCCCTTCTTCGCAGCCACGGAGAGGGCCGATTGGGCGTTCGGGTCTGGGAAGAGTGTGGGGTCTCGCGCGCGGGCCCTAGCGGCACTCTCTGAAGCTGCCGCGGCCAATGACCAAATTGTCGTGGGGGCCAAATTGGATGGCAAGAAATGCTACGAACCGTTTCAGCTCGACCTCCTTAGAGACAGAGCGCATCAACGGGGCATTCCGAGGCTCATTGCCAACGCGATGCGTAACCTGTGGCGCTCTCCAGGGCTGGCCAGGTTGGGCACGGCTTTTCACCCGTGGCCGATCTTTGCTGCGAGTGGCCTCCCAGCCAGCGACATCTTGAAAAGCGCCTTCGTCAAAGTATACGCTACCGGCGCCTTCGATGCTCTCGCACTTCGGCGCGATTCGGTCAGGTTGTCGCCATACATATAGGTGGCGCGCACACGCTACTCAGGACACATCCCGAAGCAGGAACCGATGTCCATCGCGTGTTCAAACGAACTTATAGCTGATATCTGCAATAACCGAGCCATTGCTGTAGCAAGCTCGGTTCCTCTGGCTAGGCCGCTTGCGCGCCAGCTATATGCTCGCGGTGTACCTCAAGGTCAGGTTACATTGGCTTCGCTACGATTGGGCGTCGACTTCGCTCCAGGACAAGCTCGTTCTATCAAAAGTGCCCTCCTCAGACCTCGTCTTCGTTTTCAGCAGTTCAAGCTTCGCCACAGTCGTGTACTTCGTTTTCGAGAATGGTTGCCGCATGGTAAGCGTCGAATTCCGATCGCGCATTCGGCGGGCCTCAAACCTGCTCTATCCTACGGCAGCGCAGTCGTGGACATGAGCAACCGCGAGCTGAAGAGAGTTCGCGCGACGATGCACAGCTCCCCCCTCTCATCGAGGTGCCGCCCTGCTCGCCAAGCGCGTGTCCCGAGGCGACCCTGTTGCAGATGCGGCCGTGGCTCCCGCGGCGCAGCGCGCCGCGGCAGCGTGGTCGGCAGCGGCTGCAACCGAGCGCCATTGTTTACGGGGGCAGCCCCTGCGCGGATGTATAACGCGGCGGTTGAGAAGCAGCCGCCCAGCCCCACATGGAGGCAGTCCAAAGGCCCGATCTCGAGGATGCTCCTGCGCCTCAAGAGAGTTGGTTGGGCGCCTGAGAACGCGGCGAAGTGGGCCCACGATCGAAGACCCGAGCTTTCTCTCCCGCGCCCCCCCCCCCCCCCCCCCCCCCCACACCGAGCCCATGTGCGAAACTTTCCAACGTGAACGCGAGCGTGATCTGGCACATGTTGCGGGCATTCCTGGCGAGCGCGCGCGCGTGCACGTAGATGTTGCGCGCGCGGCGGTTAGAACAGCAAACGAGTTCACACCTCGGCGCAAGTACGCAGTGGCCAGTTGTTTCACGGAAGCAGTTTTTTTTTCTTTTTTTTTACGCAGGCTCGTCTAAGAGATCTAGGACACGAACCGGGCGGCTTGCGCCCTTTGCGCGGGCAGCGCGGTGACCTCCATCATAGACTGCGGCGCTGCCAGAGCCGGCAAGTTGCCGAAGCTCGCCAGGAGGCGGTTAGCGCGGAGATAATTGCCGAAGGGGCCCAGGCAAGGAGCAGAGATCTACTCTGGACCCGTCTTATGTTTCTCCGCCCGTCCTCCTACCTCCAAACTCCTGCTGGCATGCTTTATCCTGAGCCCCTCACGGCTGAAGGAGCCCCCCTCGACGACCCCTGGATCCTGAGCGAAGCGTCTGATGTCGTCGTCGATGGGTCGTGCACCAGGCATCCGGTCAGGGATTGTCGAGAGCGGCTTATGCAGGATACTTTCTGCGCGACGATTCCGAAGAGGTCCTCGCGCGCTTTCGAAAACCCGTTTGGCCTTCCCTCCCCCAGCCCCGCAGGCAGCAGAGCAGATGGCGATGGCAATGCCTGCATTCCTGCTTCTGGGGCCCGTGGAGGCACATTCCGATTGTCTAAGAGGTGCAACATTGCATAATAATCAAGCGAAGTGCCAGGTCTTCTCGGGCAGGTCAAAGCACGCAGGCTTGAGAACAGGTGTTGATGAACTCGAAGGAGCGCCTCGGCGAGGCTCACCACACACCAGCGCGCCGACGAATGGAGGACATCGACTGCCTCCCCGCTCCTGGGAGAAGGACCAGCCGTGCGAATTGCCTGGCAGATCAGTGTGCGAAGGAGGCTTTGAATTTGCATGCTCAGGATCGCCCAGGGGACATTGGCGAGTTTGACGCCCTGATTTCCAAGGCCCGTGCTGCGGCCCGCGTGGTGGGCTCGGTATTGCCCCTGTTTCCTTTCGCCCAGTTCCCTCCCAGGCCCAAGGTCCCCAGGCCCCGAGAAACTGGTGCGACATGCGTGGACGTTTGCCCCAGGTGCACCAGGCTCCTTTACATGTTACGACTGTCACGCCCGAGCCACCAACCCTTGCGCGCAGAGGCTCGACATGTCTGGTTGCACGGGTCGCAGGACCAAGTCTGCGTTTCTTGCCGATCGGGAAAAGCTGGGCTGGGCCACTCGTTAGTCCACACGCGACTTTCGAATGGCCCGGTTCTGATTTTCCACAGACGGTGTGATGCATACAGTACCGATCGCATCAGCCGACAGCTCGAACGTGTATGCAGCAAAAGTCAAATTGTGTCGTTTGCCACCCGATGCAGGCTCGATCGAATGATGAGAAGCCTCCACCCGCTGTCAAATCGTGCCCCTGGCGTCGTCCTCCATATCTTGAATGGTGTGGAGAGGCTCAGGCTGCTGCAGACTCAGCGGCCGCGGGAGCGGGCGGTCGTTTTCCATCTACCCCAGGACGGTGTCCCAGGCGGCGGGCTGTTGCCAGGGCTCGAGGCGTTGCGGCGGCAGTTCGGGGGAGGAGGCTTGAGGTTTTCAGGTTGCTCCTGTTTTGCGGGGGCTTCTCGTGGGGCAGCAGCCCCCACAGGAGCCACCCCTCCCAGGGGCCCAGGGCAATGCCCAGGAGGTGCTCCCTCCTGAGCCTAGCTCCGATGCAAAAGAGGATCCTCGCTTCCTCCACGGTTGAACCAAACGTTACGTTCTACCCTGAGGGAAAAAACTCATCGGCCTCCTTCTCCTTCTCATCCTCCAGGCCCTCCATCTTCCTACCGTGCCGTTGGATGTCTTTCTCCACCGACACCTGCTCCTGCAACCCAGAAAAACACGACCAGCCCTGCATCCCCCTCCTCAAGGTCGTCGTCCTCCTCCTCCTCCTCCTCCTCTTTTGTCTCCTCCTGGCCGTCCTGCCCATCTTCCTCTTGACGTCCCCCCTCTACCGCCTCTTCCTCTCCCTCCTCCTCCTTTTTTTCCTCGTGCTACTGCACCTCCTCCTCCTCCTCCTCGGGCGGTTGTGCCCGCGGGCGAGTTGAAATTTGTCGCCTGGTTGTGGTCGCGGCTGCGCCCGCGGGCGGGTTGACATGTGTCGTCCCGTTACGCTTGCGGTTGCGCCCGCGGGCGGGTTGAAATGTGTCGCCTGGTTGCGATTGCGGTTGCGCCCGTGGGCGGGTTGAAATGTGTCGCCTGGTTGCGGTTGCGGTTGCGCCCGCGGGGGCTGGTGAAATGTGTCGCCAGGTTGCAGCTGCGGTTGCGGCTGCGCGCGCGAGGGGTAAAGAAATGTGTCGCCTGGTTGCGGTTGCGGTTGCGGTTGCACCCGCTGGCGGGTTGAAATGTGCCGCCTTATCGCGGATGCGGTTGCGCCCGCGGGCGGGTTGAAATGTGTCGCCTGGTTGCTGTTGCGGTTGCGCCAACTGGCGGGTTGAAATGTGTCGTTTGGTTCTGGTTGCGGGTGAGCCCAGACGGGTTGAATCGTGATGTCAGAAGTGCCCGTTAAGCACTCATTTCAATCATGTCAGCACAGTTCAATTCAGTCAATCAGTCAGTCAGCGTAGGGCACGGAATTTCATCTGGCCCAGCCTGGAATAATAATACTAAGATGCGATTTAAAACGAATCATACTAATGATAATAAAATCAAGCATAATAAGAAGACGAGTAATGAGATGAGTACGAACAAGGGAAAGTTGATACAACATACAGAGAATTAGACGAACAATAATATCATGCGGAGAAGGAAGAGGAGAAGGAGGATAACATGGAGAAGGACAGGGAGGAGGAGGAGGAGGAGGAGGAGGAGGACAGGAAGTAGGAGAAGCGGGAAGAAGGAGGAGCAGGAGAGGGAGAAACAACTGGAGGGAGGGAGAGCCAGGACGATGAGGCTGATGAGGACAGATCGGCGACTCCGAAGGGTGTGGTTTGCAAAGGGTGTGGCTTGCAACCAGCACTCTGAGAGGCACCCTGGGGGGCCGGGCGAGGACCTCCACGGAGCTCTCCGTCGCGCCCCGAGGAGGCCCGACGAGGACAGTATCGTGCCCCCCAGGCCCCGACGGCGCCGATCGCAAACCACACCCCGGGCGTAACCATACCCTTTGCAGTCGCCGAACAGAGGAGGAGGCGGCGCCGCCGCGCGGCCGCGGGATATATGGGCGCCAGCCGGGAGCGCCTTCGTCCGGCCCAGCGTCACGGGGCCCACGCTTCCCAGGTGCGAGGGGTTCGCCTGGGGTGCGCGCGGGGGGGGGGAGGGGCTCCCTCCTCCTCCTCCTCCTCCTCCTCCTCCTCCTCCTTCTCCTCCTCCTCCTCCTCCTCCTCCTCCTCCTCCTCCCCATCATCATCATCAGCATCGTTATCATCATCATCAGCAGCATCATCATCATCATCAGCATCAGCATCATCATCATCATCATCATCATCATCATCAGCATCAGCATCAGCATCAGCATCAACATCATCATCAGCATCATCATCATCATCATCATCAGCATCATCATCAGCATCATCATCATCATCATCCACCTCCTTCCCCCCTCGAACCCATGGGGGTGGTGGACCACAGACCTATCACGGACGAGGAGCCTGAACTGGTACGGCTCTCGGGCGCCCCGACTCCGCCGGTGAGGCCAGAGGCCTGGTGCATAACCAGGATGTTTTTTTCACCTCGACAGGTCTCACCGCTTCAATGACTTCTCGCGGCAACAGCGGGCACTGCAGCGAGTAAAATCGCAGCTGCAAAGAGACACTGAACAATTCTCTTAAAACAGCTGCGAAAAGAGAGGTGGGTGTGCCTGGGCGCTCCGCGAGGCCAGACAACTGCACCACCAGGATGGCAGCAGCCGAGCCGGGGGGGGAGACAGAGCCGGACGAGGAGCAGGGCGGAGGAGAGGGCGAAGCGTGCGGCACGAGGGAGAAACATAGGGTCGGCGGCGGCCAGCCAGAGGCTTGGTGCACCACCAGGATGGCAGCAGCCGAGCCGGGGGGGGAGACAGAGCCAGACGAGGAGCAGGGCGGAGGAAAAAGGGCGACGCGTGCGGAACGAGGGAGAAACATACAGGTCGGCGCGGGCCTTCTCAGAGGGCCTGGGAGTCCCCTGGCCTCCTCCTCCTCCTCTTCCTCCTCCTCCTCCTCCTCCTCCTCCTCCTCCTCCACCTCTACTCTCCTCCTCCTCTTCCTCTCCTCCTCCTCCTCCTCCTCCTCCTCCTCCTCCTCCTCCAGGCCTAGACGCTTCACAGCAGGAGCCCCCCCCGCCCAAAGACACAGAAAACCTCTCACAGGGCCGGCGGGCTTCTGAGGAACCCCTTCTGCACTCTTAGAAGGCCTGCTCCTTCTCACCTCCCCCCTCGCTCGCCGCCGAGAGGAGGAGGGGCAGGAGGAAGGGCCGTGTGCGGGATCCAAACCCCGCACTCGCCCCTTGGCGGCGCGCCCGCCGGCGCGCGCGCCGCACCCACGGGGGTTGGGGCTAGGTCGCTGGCCGCAGCTTCGCGGTGGCGGCTTGGCGGGCGCCAGCAGCCGATGTGAGTGCGCGGGCGCGGCAAGGCGAATACCCACAACGAATGCACAACGAATGCCCGCTCGCGCAGCCGCATACCCACAACGAATGCAACGAGTGCGGTGGGGGCATTTTTTTATCTATGTAGGCACCGCGCGAGCACGGCGGTTTCATGCACGCATTCACAGCCGCGGGACCAGCGCGGGGTCCCGCGGGGCCCCGCGGCGCCCGCTCACCACCCTATCACCTCCATGAACGAGGCGCAGAGCTGGGCGACGTCACGGTCGCGGCGCTCTCGATCCAGGCGCGCACGCCGCCGTACGAACGGCTGCTGGCCCGTGGCCTCTGCAGAAACCAGCAGAAGCCTGTGGGCCGAGGCCGTCCAGTCCAGCTTCTCTGCAGGTAGTCCTCCTGCAGCAGCTCCTCGTCATCGCGCGCGATGCACTGCTGCCCAATCTCGGGATCGGCACCGCCGTCCCCTTGGCTGCCCTGGTCCTCCGTGAGGCCGTCGAGCGTCTCCTGCATCTCGCAACTGCCGATGCTCTGCTCGCTGCCGAGAAGCTGCGCGTGCTGGCCGTCCTTGCCGAGCGTCTTCGTATCGAAGGGCTCCCACTGGCTGTAGACCACCGCGCCGCATGTGCAGCGCAGGCCAGCCGCCGCCTCGCCCATGCCGTGCAACGGCTCCCAGCTTCCCGCACCTGGAATGAAAGCTGGGCTTTCCCTGCGGAGCTGCACGCCGCGCGCCTCCTGCCGCAGCGCCCGCGGCGGCGCCAGCCTCGCGGACTTCTGGAAGCGCCTGAGCTCCCTGCCGCTGGCCGCCGCCCGTGGCGCGACTGCCGAATGTTCAGAAACATTCCGCCGCAGGATGTCCACGTCGGTGAGCGGGGCGGCCGCCACGCCATCGCGGGCCTCGATCTGGGCTCGAAGAACCGGTTTGATGCCCATCCACCGCTGGCGCAGTTCGTCTGCATGAGGGTCAGGGTGATCCCCGTAGCCCAGATGCCGCAGCAGCTGGTTGAACTCCGACGTCTTGTGCCGCAGCTGCTCCTCGAGTGCTCGAACTTGAGCACGAGCTGCTGCAAGCCCCGCGTCGGCTGCCACCAAGGCCCTCCTCCGTGCTGCCGTCCGCGTCGCTCTCGATCGCCGGCCGCATGCTTCTATGCTGGAATCGCCGCAATGGGGCGACTCCGCCCGTGCCATCCCAAGCGGTCCCGCGCGCGCTGAAGCGGGCGGAACACAGGCTTGAGCCAAAATGGCTACGGACGCGGTGGGGGCATTGGACAAGGAAGCCTTCGATAAGGAATCCAGGGTCTGGAGGCCAGTGGAACTCCAATCGTGGATCGGCCATGGATATCACCGCCCTCCTCATCAGATAAGGAATCCCCCAGGGTCTGAAGCCTCCTGGGCACATTCCTCAACCAACGCCCCCACCGTACCAGATCATGGACTGCAATCCCTGGACCCCAGGCCTACGGCGGGCCATGACGGCGCGCCAGCTGGCGGCGCAGCATCGGGTCATGGGCCAGCTGCGGTTTCAAGAGCAGCGCATAGGCGAGCTGAAGGCCAAGTTGTGTGAGTGACACGATCGGCGGTACGACCAGGAGCTGCGCCAGAATCATGTCGACCAGACAATGCTTGCAGCCCTTGCGATGGGGGCTGACAGCAGTGCGACCAGGTACCCGGAGCAGGACGAATGATGCTGCCACGAGGAGGATCACGAGGAGCAGGGCGGCGAGTACGTCTACGAAGGTAATTGGAAAACGAATCACTACGACATGGCAGCCGACGGCCCCGACGTGGACCACGGGGACAAACGGGAGGAGGCCTGGGTGGCTTCCGACGAGGGGCAACACGATGAACTACGAGGACCACCAGAGGACGAACAAGGGCCGCCACCACCAGCAGAGCTACCAGGGTCACCCGCAGAGCTGCGAAGACCACCGGCAGAGCTGCGAAAGCCACCATCGGCGCTACCAGGGCCACCAGCACAGCTGTGCCGGCCAGAAGAAGAGCTACGAGGACTACCAGCCGAGCTTCGGCGGCCACACCCAGAGCGACGAGGGCCACTCGCAGAGCTCTAAGGGCGTCCAGCAGAGCTGCCTGGGACCAACGGCCGAGCTACGACGGCCACAAGCAGAACTTCAAGGGCAGCACGCAGAACGGGGAGGACCACCAGCGGATCTACGAGGACAGTCGGCAGGGCTACCAGAAGCATAGCTACCGGGGCCACCATCGGAGCTACGCGGGCCACCAGCAGCGCTTCAAGGGCCACTAGCTGAACGATGAGGAGAGAAACCAGGTGAGCTATTAGGGCCACCAGCTGAGCTACCAGGGCCATGAGTACAGCTACCAGGGCCACCAGCCAAGCTACCAGGGCCACCTGCTGAGCTAGGAGACCCACCGCCGCAGCTGCTAGGGAGACCTGCAGAACGACGAGGGCAACAAACTGAGCCATGCGGGCCAAGGGAGCCACTGGCTGAGCTGCGAGGGCCACCTGCTGAGCTACGAAGACCACGTGCTGATCTACGAGGACCACAACCTGCTCGTCCAGGGCAACGAGCACCCGGGACCAACTCGGTCACGAGTTCCCCCAGCGGAACTGTGAGGGCCACAGATGGAGCTACAACGGCGACAGACTGAGCTCCGAGAGCAACCTGCAGAGCTACGAGGTCCACTTGCTGGACTACGAGAGCCACTAGCTGAGATAGACAACCTGTGCAAAGAGGGCCGCAAACAGAGCTACGAGAACCACCAGCAGCGCTACCAGTGTCACCCGCTGTTCTACGAGAGCTGGCAACAACTGAGCTATGGGGGCCACCAGCTGAGCTGCGAGCCCGCGAGTTGAGCTACGAGACCCACATCCCGGGCTACGAGGACTACCAGCTGAGCTACTATGACCAGCCGCGAGGGCCGCGAGACGAACACTAAGGCCAACAGAAGACCTCGACATCAAAAACGCCGATCGCCATCGGAGACACGGTGGAGGGCAAGCTCGGCAGAGAGTACTTCGAGTACTTCGAGTGCACGGTGCTGGACCAGAACGTCCAGACGTTGAAAGTCCGCTGGGCCGACGGCTCGGAGGAGAACGTGCCCCGCTACCTCGTCCAAAGGAAACCTCGGGAGCGGCCAAGATCAAAAGGGGGGCGTCCAAGAGGGGGGGGCGGAAATCATGGCCGGCGGCATGTGCACTACCCAGGGGGGGGGCCAAGGACGTAACGAAATAAGAAGAAGCGCCATAAACTCTGGGGAGATATCATGGCCCTGGCCAGGATCACCGCTCCACTAGCCTTGTGGATGCCACGACCATGGACACCCCAACACCCTGACAGTCCTATCATTGAATCCCACCAGCCCTCTGGGCGTAGGTGGTCTAGAGCAGATCCTCTTCCACCCCTCCCTCTTCCCCCTTGGGGAGGGGTTTACCCCTCCCCCTACCCCCTCCCCAGGACCTGGACGGGGGGGGCCGCTGGTAGTTAGAGCGTCCCAGATGGCCCAAGACGGCTCCAAGAGCGCCTCAGAGAACCCAAGATGAGCTCCAAGATGGCTCAAGATAGCGCAAGATCGCTCGAGATGGCTCCTAAGATGGTTCCAAGAAGCCCAAAGACGGCCCCAAGATAACTCCAAGTGGCCAAACAGCTCCCCAAGGAGGCCCCGAAGAGGCCAAAATCGTCCCAAAACCTAAGGAAAATCAATGATTTTTGCTTTCTCGCCTTTTCGCTTCCGATGGCCATCCGAGGCCTGGAGATGGTTCCAAGATGGCCCAAGAGGG